CTCTTGGGCCCCAAATTAAACTGCCCTTTGAATATTCTTGCAGAAGTTCAAGAAGTCCTGTTTGCAAAGATGTCAGTCACAACAGGCTTTTAATTTCAAAGACTGGCAACAATCAAAGTGTCCACTTTAAGGAGCTAATCTCATAAATTCCAGTAGGCTGCTATCATGAGACATTATTTAGTAATCATGAAGAAAAGATATGTCTGTACTCATATGGAAAGATTCCCAAAATAAATTACTTAGTGAAAAATGTAACATTGAGAACGGCTTGCCGTGTTTACCTTTGAATGAAATGTCTTACAAGGATTATACACATGGTATTATATATGCTACTACATGTGTAATGTTTCCCTCTGGAAGAAACTAACCTGCAATATCTATAGCAGTTTAGGAACTAAAAAGGTATCAGGAGATTCTGTTGCTCCCTGGTTGATATTTCTCTACTATTTGAATGTAATTTACCATGTATGTATTACTAAAATATGGAAATGGAATGCTTACACACTGAAGGCTTGCAAATAATGGGCAGATTGACCAAAATGGCGTCAATCCACCCGGAATTTTGGAGCCCTGTGCTCCCCTTGACTTCAACCTGCCTAGAGAATTATTCTGCTTTTGGATTATTTTTTTCCACTTGAGCTGCTTACTTCCTGTTTAATTTTGATGGTTTGACTCCTACTCTTTAATCCTTTCTGGCATACACTTTATCTTGCCTGCCTTAATTGACATTTTTTTTCCCTTTGTCCCTGGACCCAAATTCTGACTGCAGCTGTTTCTGCTCCCAGGTCAGCCTGTTTGGGCTTCAGTGTATCCACTTAATTCTGGTCTCAACTCCTTCGCTTTGACAATTTCAGCTAACACATTCCTAGAACATGTCATCTGGAAGAGGAAAATTACAAATAACTTTCTCAAAAACATAAGTATGCACTGCCATTTTGTCTTGTTTCATATTTCTTAAGAATTTTAACCTATTCTTTAGGATTCAAAAACTAGGAAAACAGCTGTGTAAATAAATGAGCACCTGCAAAAGTCCAAAGGGACACGACCCATCTCTCCCCAAATAAGATCTCCTTTGAGAACTGAACTCCCCTAAAAATCTGGTGAACTTGGATTCCAGGGATGGTTCATTCAATAATCATGAGCTGAGGTCTTTGCAAATGTCTTCTTTCTGGGGAGGAGTCCATATCATACACATTCAAATGGTACAGCTCATACAAGGGGAAGAAACCTGGGTAAGTGTCATATGACAGTCTTAGCACCCAGTCTCAAATTCACTAATGAGAATGAGCTCAAGGAAAGCTCAGTGGGAGTTTCAATGCCTTGAGAGGATGGATACAGGACAGTGAGTCTCTATGGTAGACAGAGTCTCACCAGGGTAAGCCATTATGACTGGTGAGGCAGTGGAAGCAGGGACAGAGTTCCAGGAACACGAAGAAAAGCTGCCTTGGTTTTCAGCGTGTCCTCTTAAGCTTCTCTATGGCAACCTCATGGTTCACTAGCAGGGTCCCTTGTTTCTATGAATATGACAACAATTTCCAAGCTATGCCTGTCCAGCCCACCAAAACAAGCATATTGGGGAAAGGCCAGAATATCTCCAGAACTAACTGTTCTGTGACCTTAGTCAGTCAAGCCCTTGAGAAGAAATATCTGGCTAGAGGCCATTTAAGAGCTCAAGAGGGAAGAATGTATTGTTGCCCCTGCTAGAGTAATACAAAGGAGAGCCTATCATGCATGCACTTCTACACTAAGCAGCAATCCTGAGGCTTTTTAATCTATGGGTATAGGTGCCACTGGATCTGTGGAATACAGATATAGATTTAAAAAATATATATTCCACAACAGATACATTCACTGGAGCCCTAATGGCCAGAGCTAGCTATTCACCTGGGCTCCTGATCTCTCCTGAAGAGTTTGTCTGCTCTTCCGGGACCTACTCACACTCCCCAAAACTACTCTAGCTTTTCAAATGAGGAACCAAACACAGATACTAATCAACTTCTGGAATTTCAGAGAAATATGAGAGGAGCCTTGAAACATATTAGGGAAAAACTAGATATGGACCAAAGCCAAAGTTATGGCCTATAATTAAGCACTTAGATCATGTCACTTCTGGAAGAACTCAGAGAGTGAGAGGCTGGTGGGCTGGGAGCCTCACTCTGGTATCTAAAGCAGAAAGGAAGGAATATTGCATTCAACACCACATATTCACCCAGGGACTACCCCCCCACACCATAAATCAACATCCTCTTATGTTCTAGTTTAAAGCCAAATGCCCTGACCTATTTTTGGACTTTAAAAAATAGAATTTCCCTGGTCAGGGAGGGCCCTAGCTTTAACAAGCTCTTGTTTGATGCTAATACAGTCAGTTTGGCAGCTGGCTGCCACCACAGAGCTGGTTACCCTCAGCCAGCAACAGGCCAGGGCAACTGGGTCAGAAATACTGTGTATACAACAGGGATATCTGTAGCCAGACAAACGAGCACCCCATCAGCATGGAGTATAACCAGAATAAACCTGGTGTATAAATAACAATGCTGGAACAAATACATGGAAATCATGATGCCAGCTGGGCCAAGAAAAACATCTGGACCAGCTGAAAAACATCTGTAGAAGCCCTCAGGTGAAAACTTTCTCTTCAGCCTGAAAGGTTCCCTCTTTTAGTATTGTAGAGATGAGATCTTGTTTACCTGGCCTTGATTAGCCCACACTAATAGAAGAGAAGGAGAAAAACTCAGGGAAAAATGAGATGTCTGTATAATTTAGTGTCATGGGATGGTGGGTGACTATGCACTGCTGATGGCTACTCAGGGTGGGTAGGGTTCACATATGTCCTCCCACAACTGACCAGTGTTGATATTGGCTAGTGAAAATAATGGGACCAAACTCCCAGAAATCAAGAATGTCCCTTCTATGCTAATGTCCCCACCATAAGCTTTCAAGTGAGAGTCTATGCTGGTAGGGACAGAATTATGGATCAGACTTTGAGTGCCTCATTTATGGTGCAGATTCTGCCATAGTGAGATCTAGGGCTGGGATGTAGTACGGTACTTCTCCCTAGATAAGAATTGAGCAAAACCTGTTGTTTTCATTTCCGGTGTGCTTTAGACCTCTATTTGTCCTCCTGGATAAAATGTCATGAGTGTATATACCAGCTACCCTACCAGACCTTCTCCCACAGGAGGCCATGAGACAGATGCCCAGTTCCTAGGTGCTCTGGCTCTACTGCCCACTCTCCAGTGGAGACCAGTACATGTGGCAGGTGCTGGGGCCTGCCCACATCACCTGGGATCTGTTGGATCCCTTTTCTGAGCTTATATCCAATTTTAAGATTTTCTCCTATTGTTTTAAACACATTGACAGGAAAGAAGGGGCTCAGAGCACCTCTTCCCTGAGTGCAGGGTTTTAATGAATCCCAGCCATCAACAGTCAGGTATTTATGCCTAAACTTTGATTTTTCCTATATTAATTAATGGACCAAAATACATTCAGCTATATCCTATATACTCGATGGTTTCATCCCAAGGATCTAAGACCACATACCTAAACCAAAATTTAAAACTAAAAACAGAAAGTGGGTAAGGCATATTTTGAGAGAATTCAAAGGTGTTTAATATGAAATGTTAGCTAGAGCCTGCAATGTTGCAATAGAATATACTTGAAATTGTATTTCAGATGGTAAAAGAGATCATGACTTGCATTTGGATTTCCCTTCTTCTAGTGCATTCCAATGAGTCCGGCCATAGCCTCTTTTATTCAGTCACTGAACTGGACTTAAATATGTAAGAGCTAGAGCAGTGGAATGGATAAAAACATGGAACAATCTCGATGCAAGCAACAGTTACATGTGACATTACCTTCACAAAACCCTTCATGTAATCTCGGTAATTTAGTCCTTACCAGAACACGCAAGTTTTTGATGTGTGATTTACAAATAATAAAAATAAAGCTTAATCAAAAGTTAAATAATTTGCTTTTTCACAAAAATGGAAATCAAGTTTTATTATTCTCAATCTCAAAGTCTTCTTCATTGGACTTCCAACTCATTATTGATTAGCTAAGTAGTAATTACTGGCTAATTACTCCTTATAGACCTTATCTTCTTGACTTATAATTTTAATTAGGGCTCATTGTAGCAGGTATGGTACTCAGGATTCTCTTTATTACAAGGCCCAGCTTCCTTCTATTTTTATCATAAACTACCCTCCTGCACAATAGTCAGAAATAAAAAATAACCACAAAAAGCACCACCTAAACACTTTCCCATTTCAAGAGATTTTTCTGACTAATATCCAAACTTGCCTCTATCATTTCCATTAAGAAAGGGAGCCCATCACTGTGCCATCCCACCTGTGCCCATCACTGGCCCTGCTTTGACCAATATTCTAAGTATTGGAGGCAACATGTAACCAGAGCCACAAGAAATAATCATCACCTCTGAAAGAAAGAAAACCTCCAGAACATATGACTTTTTCAGAGCTAAACAATGAGAAAAACAAAACAAAACAAAAAACAACCTCAAAACCTGTTGATCCAAACAACACCACTTCCCATCACATTTATGCCTCTAATTTTATACTGTCAGTTCTTACATGTAAAGCACCAATCTTGAAACGAGACACAAGTATACATCCTAGGAGAAGTATATATACCCTATCTTGCATAAGGTTTATTCCTTCTCCTCTATTATCCTGCCATGTGACCTAAACCCCATTGACATAAAGGGTTTCTAGAAATTTTACACTGACAGAGAGCATCCTGTTGTCAGAAGCTTACCTGGTGGAATGAGAAAACTGACCTCACATACAGGGCAAACACCCACAGGCCACTGCTGCTCTGGAAAGTAGCCCTCTTAATTCCTGCCCGGAGTCTTCATCTCCAGCTGGGGACCTAGGGGTGTGTACAGGGTGGGGCAGGTGGGGGTTGGGTGGGAAAGATTGGCAGCGGTGGGCAGCTATCACCATCCTGGGACTGGGCATACACAGCAAGAAAAAGGCACTTACTTGCTACCATGTGACGTGTCTCCACCAGCTCCTGGGCTCCTTGGAGCCCTCAGAGCTGGGCTGCTTGGAACCCTTTTCTCCTCCTGGGCTTCTCTTTCTGATCTCTGGATTCCTGGGCTCTGGTTGATTAGGAGGTATTGCTTGCTAGGCTGGCATCTGCCCTCACCAGCTGTTAGTCAAGCTATGATGGCTCGCTGAATTGTCAGCTAGAAACCGAGTCACTGGGGCGGCTGCCCAGCCACTGACCAGAGACCCCCTTCAGCCAGATGCGCAGTGGAGCCGCGCCCTCCGCCAGGAAGCTGTTTTTGTGTCTTTCCCCACTCCTCCCTCCCCTCTCCCAGCCTCACCACCCTCTCCCCCCCGCCCTCAGCTCCAGGCCAGTGCCCGACTCCTTCCACCGGGGCGTGGGCGGGGTGGTGTTGACAGAAAGCCGGGCAGCATCTGAAGACGCAAGAGACGGGGCAGCTGCGGTGTCTTGCGGGCCAGAGGAGCGGGATCTACGAAGGGGTGAACAGGGGGAAGAAGTGGGCTTGAAGAAAGGGAGAGGCGGATTTGCGCAGGGATGCAGTTAAGGTGGAGGGCGGAGGAGGGGAGAGAGGTGTGAACTGGTGGGAGAGTGGGGAGAGCAGGAGAGGAAGGCAGCAAACAGGTTCTTCACCTCCACCTCCAGTTGCTTTCTCTCTCCCTTCTCGTGGCTGCCGCAGCAGAGCCTGCAGCGTTCAAATCAGGGCATGGCTATGGTGTGAGTGTAAGTTTGTGTGTGTAGGTATGCGTCGGTGTGCAGCGGTTTAGGAAAGAATGGGTTGGAGCAATAACCTCCTCACTCTGGATTGCTTTCCACCTCTGGTGATTTGAAACAAAGGACAGAGGAAAAAGTAAGCGTTTGGGAAATTTTGGGAAAACTGGTGGGCAGTCAGTAATTTGACGGTGAAGGGAAGAGCTGTTGAACCTCCTTTCCCAAAGAGAGTTGGAAAATTTTGCCACACCATAGAACATACATTTTATAGTCCCAATTTGTTTGAAAAGGGTGAAGTGTCCTTAAAAAAGATTCCTGCAACACACCAAGAAAAGATAACAAAAATCAGGAAGGGGGAAAAGAAATAATGTATATTTACACAAGAGGTTCAAATTTTATATTGCAAACCATAGAACAGAAGAGTGAAGTGAACTAAGGTGTTGCTGGTGCTGAGCACACCATCTCCGGGACAGCAGGTTTCCTGTGTGATTCACAGGGAGGGTCTGTTGCATGCACTGTGTTTATTTAAATTATAAATTTGTTAGAAAGATTCTCAAACATATACAAAAATATGAAGAAAGTATAATAAACACTTATGCACCCGGCCTCAACTAGTGTGGACACATAGACAATCTTATTTTCCCTGTACCCTCCTTCCCACCTTGAATTAACTTAAAAGTAGTTCAGCTGTCATCATTATATCCAAACGTGCATCATCAGCATATGTCTCTGAATTATAAGGACTTTCAAAAAACGTAATCCAAGACCACGATCATACTGAAAATTTAACAATGATTATTTCATAGTGTCAAACATGCATTTGGTTTCTTTTTAGTAGACAATATGTGAATGACCAGCTTCCCTTCCCCACACTTTGTGGTGACAATACAAGTGACTCTTCTTGGGATTCTGATTGACACACCCCTTGTCACTCAGTCAGATCCTATGTACCTTTTATTTTAGTGCACTCAAGCCAGAAAAGCCAGCATCTGTGCTGCCTGCCACTGTGAGAACAAATATGTAGAGACAAGGATTGGATCTTTATGGGTGCCGTATTCAGATGCTGGTGATCTGAGAAAATGGTGGGTTATGTACCCTAAAATCCATCTTAACACCTCATCTCAAGCCGACCTTTCTATAAGGAGAAGAAAGTGTAGGTAAGGAATTTGGAAGAAAGGTTAATTGGATAAGAGTTGCAGTCCAATGGAGATTTTACTAGTACTTTTTTGTTTTAAATTGGTTGGCCAAAAAGTTTGTTTGTTTGTTTTTAATTTAATCTTTATTATATGTTTTTTCCATTACCATTTAGTCTCCTTACATCCTGTCCCCTCCTCGAAATCACCACACTGTTGTTCTTTCTGAGTCCTTTTTCCTTTTTGCACAATCCCTCCACTCCCTAATACCCACCCCTCGCTACTTTATCCTTCAATCAACAAGTCTCTATCTGCATCCCTCCCTGGAACACAACGGCTCAGATACCATCTCCATCTCTTGCAGACCCTCTGGAGCCCAAGGTTGAATTGCTTACTGAACTTCTGAAGTCATGTGGCCATGCATTCCAGTTCCTAGAATCACAGCTTTCCGTATACATTAATCACTTAAGCCTACCAACTATGACAGAAGCTACAATCTTTAACTCTTGAGTTCCCCTGCCACATTCAAACATAATATAAACTTAAACTTAACAATATCAAATATTTGGTAGCTTAAATAAGATATCTGACACAAATAAAAAGAAGTAGAGTAATCCCTTTTATCTGCATTTTCTCTTTTTGTGGTTTTAGTTACCTTAGGTCCACTACAGTCTGAAAATATTACATGGAAAATTCTGAACAATTTGTAAGTTTTAAATTGTGTGCCATTCTGAGTAGCATGAAGAAATTGCAAGAGTCCCGCTCTGTCCTGCCAAACATGAATCCTCCCCTTGTCCAGTGTATCCACACTGTACACACTCCTCGGCCATGGGTCACTTAGTAGTCATCTTGCTTTTCAGATGGATTGTTGTGGTATCTCAGGGCTTGTGTTCAAGAAACACTGTTTTACTTAATAATGGCCCCAAAGCACAAGAGTAGTTATGCTGGCTATTTGGATACTCCAAAGAAAAATGAAAGTTCTCTACTTAATAAGAAAAGAAAATAATCATGTGCTGAGTTTGCAAAGATCTCTGGTGAGAACAAATTTTCTACCTGTAAAATTGTGAATAAGGGAAAAGAAATTTGTGCTAGTTTTGCTGCAGCACCTCAAACTGCAAAAGTTGTGGCCACGGTGTGTGATAAATGCTTAGTTAAAATGGTAAAAGCATTAAATTCAGGGGTGGAGGGCATGAGCAGGAATTTGTTCTGATTGAGGGCAACTTGTTATGCCAGAAAACACTGAGCCTACGAAGACTCCAGCAACAAATATACTGAAACAAGTGACGCCAAACCACTTATTGCAAATAAGGGATGGTTGCTCAGAGTTGGTGTTTTATCATCTCACATCATCACATGAAGGAGGATGAATACACTACAATAAAATATTTTGAGGGTGTGTATGTGGGGGGGGGGAGACCACATTCACATAACTTTGTTACAGTATATTAATTGTTCAATTCTATTTTTTTGGCAATTTAAAAAAGTATATTTTATTGATTATGCTATAATAGTTGTCCTATTTTTCATTTTTTCTCCCCTTTATCCCCTTCTGCCCTGCACCCCCTCAACATTTCCCCCATTCCCCCACCCTAGTTCATGTCCATGGGTTGTACATATAAGTTCTTTGGCTTCTCCTTTTCCTATACTATTCTTAACCTCCCCCTGTCTATTTTGTGCCGACCAATTATGCTTCTTACTCCCTGTATCTTTTCTTCCCAGTCTTCCCCCTCCCCTTCCCCATTGATAACCCTCCATGTGATCTCTGTTTCTATGATTCTGTTCCTGTTCTAGTTGTTTGCTTAGTTTGTTTTTTTGTTTTGTTTTTGATTTTTAGGTTCAGTTGTTGATAGTTGTAAATTTGTTGTCATTTTACTGTTCATAGTTTTGATATTTTTCTTAGATAAGTCCCTTTAATATTTCATATAATAAGGGCTTGGTGATGATGAACTCTTAACTTGATCTTATCTGGGAAGCACTTTATCTGCCCTTCCATTCTAAATGATAGCTTTGGTGGATAAAGCAATCTTGGATGTAGGTCCTTGCTTTTCATGACTTTGAATACTTCTCTCCAGCCCCTTCTTGCCTCTAAGGTTTCTTTTGAGAAATTAGCTGAGAGAGTCTTATGGGAACTCCTTTATAAGTAAGTGCCTCCTTTTCTTTTGCTGCTTTTAAGATTCTCTTTTTATCTTTAATCTTGGGTAATGCAATTATGATGTGCCTTCACGTGTTTCTCCCTGGATCCAATTCTTTGAGACTCTATGAGCTTCCTGGACTTCCTGATCGTCTATTTCTTTTGCTGGATTGCAGAAGTTCTTCATTATTTGTTCAACTAAGCTTTCAATGCAATTTCTTGCTCTTCCTCTTCTCCTTCTGACACCACTATGATTTGGATATTGGAATATTTAAAATTGTCCCAGAAGTTCCTAAGTCTCTCCTCATGTTTTTGAATTAATTTTTCAATTCTATTACTACTCACTTTTATTAACTAGATTACTTGTTAATCTCCTAATGTGCCTAATTTATAAATTAAAGTTTATCATGAGTATATATATATAGAAAAAAGTGTAGTATATACAGAGTTCTGTACTACCTGCGGTTTCAGGTATCCACTGGGGGTCTTGAAATGTATGCCAATGCATAAGGGGAGATTACTTTACTGCTTTGTATAATGTGTAATGAACAGGCAACTAATCTAAAGATGTTTTGCATAGTGATAATAGAAATAGGAAGCAAGTAAAAGGGAAACCAATGATATTGGATGTGCCTTCTGAGTTGGATACCCTTTTTTTGTTGTTATTCTGGAGTAAGTTATTTTACCGGCACTGTTAGATAATGTTACTAGACTGGATCTGATTGATTTTAGCAATTATTGTGCTACTAATAATAATGACTTGATGAAATTTGCTTTGCTCAATAAGGAGTATCGTAAGAAGGATGTGGTGTGTGGTGGGAGGGGTCAGTTGCTATTTGTTTTCCACACTTCTGCCTTAAGACCCTTATAATCCCTTGTTCTATGCTGTGTTCACTAAGTGTATATTCAGAAGGTGGAAGCTCTAGACCCACGTGTCCTACTTTGTCAAGAGAAACATGCTCTATCACACTACACTTGAACCAGATAAGCCACTGGGGGGATTACTTTCCTTGCAGGCTGCTTAAGTGGGAACTGTTTCCACTAAGCTTAAAGATGTCAGTCTTTGAAGTGTAGATGAGCTTGGTGTTTTCATTCCCACTCCATACCAGATCTAAGGTTGGTAAATTCCTATGTAAAAACATGACAAACAGCCCTAAGTGGCAAGTCTCATTGCTTTGGGCATGTCCAGCAAGGTGAATGGTCACTGGTTTGGTTCCTGGTCAGAGCTCATGCCTGGGTTGTAGGCAAGTCCCTGGTTGGGGGTGAGTAGGTGGGGGGTCAGCTAATCAATGTTTCTCTTCCACATTCAT